GAGTTTTCCTTCAATCCCGATGCCATTTTCCTTTTCGTATAATTCAGTTTCTTGGATTATTTGCTCAGTGTACAGACTGAATAAGTGTGATAAAATGATACAACTTTGGTGCATAATTTTTCTGATTTTAAAGTACTCAGTATCCCCTTGTTCTGTTCAAATGACTGACTCTTGATCTATATACAGGTTCCTCATGAGCACAACGAAGGATTCTGGAATACCCATTCTTCGCAATGTTATGATCCACACATTTGAATGCCTTTGCATAACCAATAAAGCACAAGTAAATGTCTTTCTTGTATTCTTTGCTTTCAGCCAAGATCCATCTAACATCAGTAGTAATATTCCTAGTTCCACGTCTTGAATCTGGCTTTAATTTTTGGCAGTTGCCTGTCATTGTACTAGTGTGAACATTTTTTAATTATCTCCAGCAGATTTTAATTGCATGTGATATTAATGATATCGTTCAGTGATTTCTGTATTCTGTGAGGTCACCTCTCTTTGGAATGGGCACAAACATGGATCTCTTCCAGTTGGTTGCCCAGGTAGCTGTCTTTTAAATACCTTGGCATAGGTAAGTGAGAATCTCCAATGCTGCATCAGTTTGTTGAAACATTTCAATCTGTATTCTGTCAATTCCTGGAGCCTTCAAGGCAACTTGAACTTCTTGCTTCAATTCCATGGGTTCTTGATCATATGCTACCTCTTGAAATGGTTGAACATCAATCATTTATTTTTTTGCTACAGGAAGTTTGTTTTCTTTACATTCAGGTGCATCCCATACTGAAGGTTGTGGTCTTCCATCTTATTTTGATGCTGTCTTCATCATTCTATATTTTTCCCATGGAGTCTAGTGGAGGCTTGAATTTTTTCTTCACTTCTTTCAGCTTGAGAAATGCCTAATGTGTTCTTCCCTTTTGGTCTCCTAACTCTAGGTCTTTGCACATTTCACTATAATACTTGACTTTGTCTTCTTGAACTGCCTTTGTCTTCTTGAACTGCCTTTTGAAATTTTCTCTTTTACTTCCTCATTTTCCATGGCTTTAGTTTCTCTATGCTCAAGACCAAGTTTCAGAATCTCTTTTGACATCCATCTTGGTGTTTTCATGTATTCTTGTCTTTTAATATTCTATTGCTTTCTTTCTGTATGTTCCTGATGTCTTCCCACAGCTCTTGTGATCTTCGGTCATTAGTGTCTAATACATCAAATATGTTCTTGAGAGGGTCTCTAAATTCAGGTGAGATATATTGTTGTTTTTGTGGTTAGGTGTCATTGAGTTGGTACCGACTCATAGCGACACTATGCACAACAGAACAAAACACAAAAAATCTTGGGCCAACCTCACAATTGTTGCCACGCTCGAGCCCGCTGATGCTGTCACTTTGCCAATCCATCTCGCTTGGAGTCTTCGTCTTTTTTCTCTGACCCTCCGCCGTACCAAACATGATATCCTTCTCCAGTGACTGGTCCCTCCTGACAATATGTCCGAAGTATGAGAGACGAAGCTTGACCATCCTGGGCTCCAAGGAACACTCTGGCTGCACTTCTTCCAACACAGATCTGTTGGTTCTTTTGGTAGCCTGTGGCACTTTCAATATTCTCTTCTGACTCCATAACTCAAAAGCATCAATTCTTCTACAGTCTTCCTTATTCACTATCCAGCTTTCGCATGCATATGAGGTTATTGAAAATACCATGAATTGGGTCATATTGTTGTTGTTGTGAAGTACCGTCAAGTTGGTGCCGACCCATAGCGACCCTGTATAGGGTTTCTGAGGAGCAGCTGGTGAGCTTGAATCACCGACCTTGTAGTTCAAATGGCTTTTGCGGACTTGTTTTGATTGTCTTCAGCTTCAGCTTGAACTTGTATATGAGCAATTGATGGTCTGTTCTACAGTCAGCTCCTGATCTTGTTTTGGCTGATATTAATTCTCCACTGTCTCATCCCACAGATGTATCCATTTAATTCCTGTGTATTCCATTTGGTGAGGTCCATATGCATGTTGTTTAGAAAAGATATTTGCAACGTAGAAGTCATTGATCCTGCAAAGTCCTATCATGCAATCTCCAGCATCATTTTTAACACCAATATCATATTTTCCAACTACTGATCCTTCCTTTTTGTTTCCAACTTTTGCATTCCAATCACCACCAGTAATTTTCAATGCATTCTGATTGCATGTTTGCTCAGTTTCCAACTGAAAAAGTTGATAGAATTCTTCAATTTTATCATCACTGTCTTTAGTGGTTGATGTTGCATTGTACTTCAAGAGAGATCTTGAAATGTTCTTTTTGATGATGAATATTATGCTATTCTTCTTCAATTTGACATTCCTAGCATAGGAACCTAGGGTTGTCCAATTCAAAATGACCAATACCAGTACATTTCAGTTCACTAATCCCTAGAATATGGATCTTTATGTGTTCTATTTAATTTTTGACAACTTCCAGTTTTCATATGTTTATAATTCGGACATTCCATGTTCTGATTATTAATGGATATTTGCATCTGTTTTTCCTGTGTTTTCTCCTCTCCTCAAATCACATCATTATGGTCGTTATGAGGAGGAAGCTCTTAGCCATTTGTATTCTGAGTGCTTTCCAATCTGAAGGGCTTTTCTCCCACTATCTCTGACATGTTCTTCTGCTATTTATAAGGTTTTCAGTGGTTAACTATTCAGAAGTGGTCTGCCTTTCCTTCTTCCTAGTCTGTCTTCATTGGAAGCTTTGCTGAAACCTGCCCACCATGGGTGATCCTGCTCATGACATAGCTTCTAGCATCACAACAACATGAAAGCCACCACAATATGACAAACTGACAGATAATCAGTGTACCTACAAGGCTAAAACTCTATGCTAATTTACTTTTAGAATCTTCCAAAGTATTCTAGGGAGCTCTGGTAGTGTAGTGTGTTACATAATGGGCTGCTGATGGCAAGGCAAACTTCTGGAATCTACCAGCTGCTCTGTGAGAGAAAGATGAGACTTCCTGCTCTTGTAAAGACTTACAGTCTTGGAAACCCTATACAGGGTCACTATGAGTTGGAACGGACTCCACGGCACACAACCACTACTACCCATGTACTCCAACCAGAGCATTCATTATTACTTAATTCCAATGATGCTTTGAATCCCTTGGTTTTGTCTGTGCACCCTACAAGTGCGTGCTGTCATTTTCATGCTGTTGGTGTTTTTATAGCCAATGATTTTGTCAAATTCTATGGTGCTTTAGCTGCACTATTGTGACAAACAGTATTTGTGAACATATATATATATATTAAGACTAAAGTGGCAATTAAAGGAAAAGGAGCAGAAAAAGAAAAAAAGGCTTTTACTCAGTTACTAAAAATGTGACTCGCGACGTAATTCAATGTAGAAAGACTTCACAAAACAATTGTGTTGTCAGTGTTCATCCAATCTAAGAAAGGCCGCATTTAAGCAATTTACAACTATATTCTTTTCATATTTTTCTATGATTAAAATGGGTAACAAACATTAGTAAAGATCTGTGTGGTCTGGGGCAGGAGGAGGTCCATGGGGTGAGGTGGCACTGTAGTCACCACGGTAGGAGATACCAACCTTCCTGATGCCAATGGTAGGGAGGCACATGCTTCTTGCTAATTGTGTCTTCTCAAGTGTCCTGAACTAGAAACAGAGCTTCTCCGTTCAATGTTTATACAGTTCAATTTAGAGTGGATTAAGCCAATGTTGGTTTATAGCAGCTGGAATTGACTCTTGCCCGATTGGCGGGACTGTAGAGGAAATGGCTGTATGACCACAGTTGCTATCTCCTGTTGTGTGATGTAAGAAGAAAGAAAACAAATTAACAAAAATTAGCCCACACAGCAAAATATGAAAGTCTGTGGCTTTCTTTCTGCCAATAAACCATGTGCTGCACCATCTACTAGTCTCTTGCCTTCACCTGAAAAAGTTCAAAATGGCCACAGTATGTCCAGTGGTCCCACATAGAACATCCACCTCCATTTCTTCCTTCCCCCTTTTTTCTCTATCTCCTGTGCCCATTCAACCCCCTTTTTCATAAGAGCCAGTCCAGGATAGGCCAGGGTTGACTTTATAAATCTGGATCACAGCCTTCTCTAATGGGGTTGTTAGATATAGCTCCTCCCTGGAGTGGCTCCAATCACCTGGAAAGTGGGAGATTCCTAGGATCGTATGCGACTCCACGGCACAAAACAACAACAACAACAATGCTGGTCAGAAAAAAAGGAAAAAAAAAAAATGCTCCTTTGTCTCTGTGAACCACAGGTAAGTTTCTTCGATGCGAATATGTTTTTCATTTCTAAAGTTGTTCAAGAACTCTCAAGATGACTCCAGTAGGTCAGTACTTGTCAGCTGCTGCTGCTTGTCAGTCAACTCCTTTCTTGCGGTGCCTAACTCTTTCTCCCACTAAGTACTCATCCTCTTTTCTATCCCTTCCTCTGTAGCTCAGAGTTCTAGGACCATCCTCTATATCTGCCTCATCTGGTTTTCCATATACCCACTGTAGAGAGTCCACACCACACAGCCTTTATGCCTAGACTGCCATCTTTATCTTTCCCCTCCTGGATAGTCTTTTCTCATCACACTGATTTATATTTTTCTCTTATGTGACAGTGTTTATGATTATATAGCTTCAATGTGTTATGGTGTCTTTGGCATTGCATTTATTATTTTTTTCCATTTCCATTTTTATTTATTTATTTTTAAGTTCATTACCACCGATTCCTTGTAATTAAAAAAACCTTTTTATTGGGAACTGAGTGAAGGTTTGCAGGCATATCATTAATTTTACATTCAGCAAATCATACACTTTGTTTCATCTCAGTGATTACATTCAGCAACAAAAGTTAGCTCACTTCCTCCCTGTGGTTCCTAGTTCCATTCTACCCACCTTCCCACGCCTTCTTAACTTTGTCCTTATGTAAATGTTGCCCTTTTGATTTTGAATGATTGACCATTCCAGTGAGCGTACCTTGTCTACTGTGTGACTAAAAATTACTTTCAAGACCTAAAGGATGAAAAAGGGCCATTATCTCAGGTTTCTCAGTAATTCCAGCCTTTTACAAAAATAATTTTGAGTTCTGTTCCATATTTTCTCCCACTTTATCCAGGACCTTCTAATGTGATCCTTTTCATAGCTATTGGTAGTGATAGCTGGGTACATCCAATTCCTCTGGTCTCAGAATTGCGGAGACTTCTGTTCTTTGATTAACTGATTCCAAGCATCTTCAATTCTTATCACTCTTCTTTCTTTCACACATGGAGAGACTTCATAGTTACATCTTAGATGGCCACTCATGAGTTTTTAAGATCCCAGATGCTACTCATCAAAGTAGGGTGTAGAAAATTGTTTTTGTGGATTATATCACACATTGCATTTAATTCTTTAGTAAACATTTGATGTCCATGTTTACTAAGCATTCTGAGTATCAGTGTTTGCAATTGCTGTGTCTTAAGAATGATGCTGGCTCCTCCCTCCAGCATTTGCTTTTGAGAATTCTCTCACTCGTCCTCCAACACTGTTTATCTGTTTTTTGTTTGTTTCTCAATAGAATATTTTAATATTCCTTTCAGGTAGTTTCTTCTTTCTGTTCAAACATCAGTTTCAGTTTTGCTGTAGCAGGTTGGTGAATCTCCTGATAAAATTATCTTACCAGAGTTCCTAACACAAAATTATACCTCACAGGAGAGATCAGTAATAAGGAAAGAAAGCATACATTCTTTGTCTGAAAAATGCAGTAACAAAATTATGGATCATTTTCTTTGATTGGGTGTTGGATGAATGTGCCTAGAACACAGAAATGGAATGAATTGAAAATTTTAGATAATGAGAAACTGGCACTTTCAATAACAAAACAAAACCAATCCAAACCACTCTTATTCACTCCTGTGTGGTGAATGGAGGCCCTCCTATTCTGTAAGGTTTCTTACTGTGTCCGGTTGTGTTTTCCATGCATTTAGCCTTCAATAATTGTCCTTTAAAACTATTCAAATGTAAAACAAACAAATTTAAAAAACAAGCAAATTCCATTCCTTATTCTCCAAAGGAAAAAAAAAATATTTTTGTTTTTTTTTTGTTTTTGCGTTGTCAAAGCAATGTTTTATAATATTTTGAGTAGTCAACAGCTGATGATTCCAAATATCTTCATCATGATAATCGATTGCTTTTTACTTTCATGCACATTCAAAATTTCTTTTACAAAGAAGAATGGTGAAGCAAAATATATCATCTGTCCTTGACTCTCTGGGGTGTTAGGCAGCGGCTCCGAAACAAGTGTTGAGCTTCTTGGGGAAGAGGACAGCAGCCTTTCAGAGAGGGGTGAGCCGCTCACCCTCAGTCATGAAGGCCTCATTCAGTTGTCCATCCTTCGTGTCCAGGGGATTACACGGGATGCCATTTTCAACTGCAATCACAATTTCACATTTATCTTCAGCATCTTCCACTGCAGATGGTCCTTTGTTCTTCCTTCTATGCTGCATGATCCCTAACAAAATCAGTAGCGTGATTGCCATGATGACGGTGCAGGTGCAAAATATCACACCAAACACAATGATCCAGGTGGGAGTGGCCAGGTCAGAGGGCATTGCTAGAGTGGATGGGATTTTTAAAAATTCCAGAGTCTGGTCATTCAAAAAGAAGACATTGTTGATCCGGTCCCTTTTCATTCTAAAGTACAATGAGAATTAAAAGTTTCTAAGGTGATTTCCACTCCTCTTATGTTAGTTTGTTGTATTGTGGTGAATTGTGTGTTGCTGTGATGCTGGAAGTTATGCTGCTGGTATTTTAAATACCAGCAGGGTCAGCATGGTGGACAGGTTTTAGTGGAACTTCCAGATAAAGATAGAGTAGGAAGAAGGAGAGGCAGGCTACTTATGAATAGCTAGCCACTGAAAACATGGACACCAGCGTAATATAATCAAATATAATGTCTGAAGATGAGCCTCTCAGGTTGGAAGGCACTTAAAATAAAACTGGGGAAGAGTTGCCTCCTCAGAGTAAAGATGTCTTTAATGATATGAATGGAACAAAATTTTCAGAACCTTCATTTGCTGATGGGGCACAACTCAAAATGAAAAGAAATAGCTGCAAACATCCATTAATAATCAGAATGTGAAATATAAGAAGCATGAATCTAAGAAAACTGGAGTTGTCAAAAATGAAATGAAACTCATAAAAGATTGATACCCTATTTATTAGTGAGATGAAATGGATTAGAATTGGCCACCTTTAATTTGACAATCATATGGTTTATTGTGCTGGGAATGTCAAACTGAGGAGGAATGGTGTCAAATTTATCATGAAAAAGATCATTTCAAGATCTATCTTGAGGTACAATGCTGTCTGTGATAGGATAATATCCATATGTCTACATGGAAAATCAGTCACTACCACTATTATTCAAATGTATGCACCAACCACGAAAGATGCTGATAAAATTGAAGAATTCTACTAACTTTTTCATTATGAAATTGATAAAACACACAGTCAAGATGAATTGATAATTGTTGGTGATTAGAATGCAAAGATTGAAGATAAAGAGGAAGGATCAGTAGTTGGAAAATAAGGCTTTGGTGATAGATAGGAAACTGGAGACTGAATGATAGAATTTTGCAATATTCATTGCATATACCTTTTTCAACAACATATACTACTATACATGTGTATCTCACCAGATGGGATACACAGAAACCTTATTGACTATGAGAAGAGAAATTTGAGAAGCTCAGTAACATAAGACAAAGCAAAGCCAAAAGCAGACTGAAACAGACTATCAATTACTCATAAGCGAGTTCAGACTAAAGCTGAAGAAAACTCAAGTCTAATAGAGCCAAAATTTATGACAATGTTTTCTTACCTGAATTTAGAGCCATCTCAAGAACAGGTTTGATGCATTAGACACTAATGACCGAAGATTAGAAGAGTTGTGGGAAGATATCAAGAATATCATTCAGGAGGAAAGCAAAAGATTGTTAGAAAGACAGGAAGGAAAGAAGATCAAAAAGGATGTCAAAAGAGACTCTGAAACTTGCTCTGGAGAACAGAGAATCTAAAGCATCTGAAAGAAATGAGGAAGTAAAAGACTGAACAGAAAATTTCAAAGAGCAACTCAAGAAGACAAAGTAAAGTGTTATAAGGAAATGTGCGAAGACCTGGAGTTTGAAAACCAAAGGGAAGAACACACCTAGCATTTTCAAAATGAAAAACTGAAGAAAAAATTCAAATCTGGACTTGAAATATTGAAGGATTCTGTAAATAAAATATTGAATGATGTAGGAAGCATAAAAAAAGATGGAAGAAACATACAGTCACTATACCAAAATTAATTGGATGCTTAGCCATGTCAGCAGGTAGCATATGATCAAGAACCAGTGGTATTGAAGGAAGAAGTCTACGTTGTACTGAAGGCATTGGTGAAAAGCAACATTGCAGGAATTGATGGAATACAAATTGAAATGAGTCAACAAACTGATGCAGCATTGGGGGCACTCACTTGTATATGCCAAGATAATTTGAGGAGAACTACTTGGCCAACCGATTGGAAGAGATCCATATTTGTACCCGTTTCAAAGAAAGGTGACCCAATAGAACACAGAAATCTTTGATTAATATCACATGCAAGCAAAATTTTGCTGAAGATAATTCAAAAACAGTTTCAGCAGTACATTGACATAGCTGCCAGAAATTCAAGTTGGATTCAGAAGAGAACTTGGAATTAAAGATTTCATTGTTGAGGTCTGATGCATTTTAGCTCAAAGCAGAGATTCCCAGAAAGATGTTTACTTGTGCTTTATTGACTATGCAAAGGCATTTGATTGTGTGGATCATAACAAACAATGGATAACGTTGCAAAAAATGGATATTCCCGAGTACTTAATTGTGCTCATGCAGAACCTGTGCATAGCCCAAGAGACAGTTAGAAGAGAACAATGGTATACTGAGTTGCTTAAAATCAGGAAAGTTTTGTTTCAGGGTTGTATCCTTTCATCATACTTACTCAATGTATGTTGAGCAAATAATGCAAGAAGTTGAATTATATGAAGAAGAATGTGGCATCAGGATAGGAGGAAGACTTATTAAGAAGCTGCAACAGGTAGATAATACAACCTTGCTTGCTGGACGTGAAGAGGACTTAAAATGCTTGCCAATTATGATCAAGTATGGATTGCACAATGTAAAGAAATCTAAAATAGTCACAACTGAACCAGTAAATAATATCATGAAAAACAGAAAAGATTGAAGTTGTCAAAGACTTCATTTTGCTTAGATCCACAATCAACACTCATTGAAGCAGCAGTCAAAAAAATCAAACAATGTATTGTATTAGGCAAATCTAGGACACCTTAAAGACCTCTTTAAGGTGTCCTAGAGCAAAGAGGACAGTTTGATCCCAGCCATGGCATTTTAAATAATCTTCTCAAAGGAGCTCTGGTAGTGAAGTGGTTATGAATTGGGCTGCTAACCTCAAGGTCAGCAGTTTGAAACTACCAGCCATTCCACAGGAAAAATATGAGGCTTTCTGCTCCTGAAAGATTTACAGCCTCAGAAACCCTATGAAGGGTTTCTTTGAGTCAGAACCACGGCACACCAACACCATCACCAAGCATGTGAAAGTTGAACAACAAGTAAAGAAGACTGCAGAAAAATTTATGCCTTTGAATAGTAGAAGTTTTTTTTAAGAACATTGAAAGTATCATGTACTGCCAAAAGAATACACAAAGTTGTCTTAGAAGAAGTACATCCAGAATGCTCCTTAGAAGCCAGGATGGTGAGACTTCTCACTCATTCTTTGGACATATTGTCAGGAGGGATCAGTTCCTGGAGAAGGACATCATCCTTGGAAAAGTGGAGGGGCAGCAAAATGGATTGAGACAGAGATAGCAACAATGGTCTCAAACATAACAATTGTGAGGATGGTGTAGGACAGGGTAGGATTTTTTCTGTTGCTCATAAGGTTACTATGAGTCTGAACCCACTCAGTGGCACCTAATAACATTAAACGCTATATAGAGTAACCATAAGGAACTCTGG